CTTGTTTTATTCGCTCTCACAGCAGTCTGTTGCCGAAGGTATCTGGTCAACGGACATTGAGTATCTTGTGTAGACAATTGTTCATAAATACTTGTGCCTTGTTGACGATGGTTGTGGTAGTTCTCCAGGCTTCATTTCCCTACAGTAGGACTGTTTTGAGGTTCGTATTGAAGATTCTGACTGTGATAATTTGGATGTACTCATACTAAATAAGTCAATGTTAATTCATAGAGGCATATCGTTCGACGAGGCTCAGATAAGTAAAACATTCATATATAACAGGAAATAGAAGGAAGCGCAACAACTAGACAGCTACTCTGGCACAGATGGATAAGGAAATACCCGCCAGCGCTTCGGACGAGATCCCTGTGTTTGGACATGAGAAGGGATCATTTGTTAATAAACAATATTGGCCCACAGATGGATCTGTGGCCGAAAGCTATAAATAAACAGGCCAATTATGTGCCAGGTGGACGAGTTAGGAAGGTTAGGCTGAAGACAGCAGCCGAAGATATCTGCAGGGAATTACGAAGTTTGTGCCTATTGGAAGAGGCCAATTAGTTGAACACGACAGTAGTAAAGCCTGGACGTGATGCCCGCTTAGTAGGATGCTAGTCATTTCCATAACTTACCAATAAAATCGTTGCTTAAGGGCCTTCCACTTGATTGTTCACAGTTTCTTTTGAACCCATTTGACGTATGAAGTACAACATTTTCTCCTTCACTGCAAAAGTATAAGAAAATCCATAAGTATTTCCTACGGCGATCCACGAAATCATTTTAGAGACTCAAGTAAGTGAGTAAAGCCTTAAGTCTATGAGGGATAGAAAATGTTGATTCAAAAATAGTTGCAAAGATGTTTAACAAAGTATATAGATGATGAATAATGTAAAAAAGTACAAACACACTGATAAAATTCCCGAACATAATATGTGTCATCAGGCGTAGCGTGTTCAGTTTTCGATCACAATTATAGTTTGAAACTAACAGTTGGAAACACGGTATCTTATTCTTGGCAATATGTATCGCAGATAATCTAAAGATATGGATACAAATGTGATCTGCAGATTTGTACATCAATCGCGCCAACGATCTGTCAATATGGTAGCCGACTGAATGAAAACTAGGAATGCATGAACACCAGTGTATGTAGAGACAAACAGGTAGTTTTAGGAGAAACATTGAACTTAACGATATTCTAGTCATCAGTAACAACTTGATAGAATTATTGAAATTATAAAAAATGTGTATAATGTAAAAATCGCTTACGAAATAACTTTATGCTAAACACTGTAAGTCAATGGAACTACTTTTCCGAATGTAGGCTACTTAGACTTATTATTTTATTGACCTACTACATCCTAGAAACCTTTATACTTTCTGCAGAATACTTACTAAAGTGGTCCCATCACCAATTTTATGGGGAATACCTGGAAATTAGAGGTACAGCGTACTAAAGTGAACTGTGAGCATAATTTCTCCTCATCACAAGCAGTCAAGTCTTGGGATTCTCTAAAGGTTGGTGTAGTCCAGGTAACTTGCCTATAGCCCGTCAGAAGGAAACTTGCTATATTTCTATGTACTTGAAAAACATTAATTCGTAGACTTATTTATTTCATATACTCGGTCCCTTCCTAAAGAAATTGGAGTTTCACTACTGCTAGACACGGAAGCTTGTTGAAAGAAAGCTTCTTATAATCTGTTGAAAAGCATTTGTACAATTTGTGGACGGATGATTTTATTCACATGATGTGGGAGCTTTAAATAATAGCGTTACATGTCCAACTGCAAGCTGTACTAAAATGTCATCTCTGCCTAAGGATTGTCTAGAAAGCGTGGCAATTAAGGAGTTTCAGAAAAAGTACAAGCTTGATTGTGATGAGATATTTGATCTTGCTCAGACATTTTTCAATGGTGAGATATACTCAAATAGAATATTATTCAATCTGACATCTAGAGAAAGCTGAGAAGGCGTTCCACTTAAGTTTTGACGACCGCATTCATCTTTCAGCCCTCATATGTATTAAGAAGTACGGAAAGTACGATCGAACAAAAACACCAGTACCTGGGCTTCTTGATTTTATAGGGCAGAGGAGAAAGTAAGTACAGTTATTAGCCTAATACTGTGTACTTGAATGATATTTATTATAAGGCCAATAAGTTTTGATCTATAAATAAGAACTTTTGATCTACATATATATACATATATTATGCAAAACCAAGGAGATAAAGTGGATATACCTCTTATACATGGTTCAAAAACTTGTCATGGTTAGAAAGAGGTTCAGAGGTTCCGAAATCGTAATGCGTGCGGTAGAGAAAATCATCCATACGGCTACAGAATAGTCGGCCTCTGGAGCCATGATAGTCTCAAAAACTTTCAGCCTCGACTACATAGCTTCAATAGTGTTTGTGTGCACTCCGGTTGTTGAGTACACAAAATGCTGCTTGTGGATAACGACATGATGCACATAACCAAGCCTATGTGGGAGTCTGTACGCTCTCCAAACACCTGTATATATTGTAGTACTTAGCTGTAGCCAGTGTTACTAGTGCCTTTATTATCCAGTTCGCAATAATTGTCGTGATTTGCCTTAGTTAGGAATTATATATGGGGTTTTCATCACGAACTGACAGCTATAATGTCAGAAATCTATTTAGCCAAATGCATGAAAGGCTTTCGCGTTAAGATACGAGATTTATTATCTTATACCTGGTTGATTCGTCCATAAATTATAGTCTCGCCGTTTATTTTTGTTATAGCCGCTGAAATATCACGTTTTGTACAAAATCCCCTGTGAACCGATCGTGCGTTAGCACTAGGCACTGAAGTTGGCGTCGTAACCTTTGAATCTCTAAAACGCTTCTGATTGACTCGTCCATAATTTAGAGTCTCGCCTGGTTTTCTAACATTTACTGCCTAATTCTACTCGTTGTTTAACACATATTCACGGGTGTCGTCTCGTCATTTTTGAAGTTGCATCTGTCCAGTGAACTTAATATTAAAGTAAAATGAGTTTCACCGGGAAAGAAATACGACTTGCAGCATTCAGTCTCCAGTAGTAATGATAGGTCTATTGACCTATATTAATCCTCGCAGTTCGTAGCACTGTGGGAGCCTAATCTTGTTTTGAATATATTAACAAAAGTTGCTGATATTACGTGTAGAGAATTCCAATAATTCACTACTCGGTGAAGAAGCAAAACTCCAAACGACTTGATTTCAGTTTTTGATTTTTCTTCGAATGTCCTTTCAAATGATCAGTCCTAGACGGAAGAAAAAGTAAAGACATTAATATCAAGGCCATCGTTTAGTATACGATAACCAATATTAGATCGCCCCGTATTCTTTGGAGATAAGTTGAGGTGTCTCAGTCTTCATAGGATAGACCAGAGAGATCTTTTACCATTTTAGTCCCTCGTCCTGTCATGGAGAGAGTCACTTAATCAGTCTATGACATTATAATGGATTTCAAAACTTTCCAGTTTCAATTTAAGATCTGAATGGGAGACCTTATCAAAGGTTTTACTTAGATCTACGAGAATTACACCTACAGGAATATTTCGATATTTTGCTGCAACCCAATCGTCTCTTGCAATCAGCAGATTTTTCAAACATGGTAGGCCTTTCCGAAAACCATGTTGTTCTCTGGATAAAAGATTATTCCCTTCCACATAGTTCATAACAGCCATCCAAATAATCTTTTCCATTAGTTTTACAACTGCACTGGTTAGACTAACGGATCGATAGTTACTAAGTCACTACTCTCCACCTTATACGCCGGACTGATTATTGCGTCTTTCCATTCTCCTGGCAGTTTGGACTGCCGCAGAGCCATATCAAACAGTTTGGCTATAGGTTCAGCAATTGCATTCGATAGGGCTTTCATAATCCTAGGATGAATATCATCAGGCCCACTGGACTTACTAAGTTTGAGATGCTTAGGTAGTCTTAAGACAGTACTTTTCTCAATAACTATAGGGTCCATCAACAAGTCGCCATAATCACAATCGTTGGTCGTTCCTTATTGTTAATAGAAAACGCTTTACTGAAATATTTCAATAAAGCTTCGGCTTTTTCAACAGTCTTAGCAACGCACTCCTGAATGGTTGATATGTTAGCTCTCCATACATTTGGGCGAGATTTAACCTGATCGTATATCATGTCACTAGCTTTAAACGTGAATGACAAAACAGCGTGGTCGCTATTCACTAATGGTGGAAGAATATTTAAGTTGGCAATATCCTCAGTCTCATGAGTGATTACCAAGTCCAACAAAGAAGAACCTTGGTTTGCACCAAAATGTGTGGGTTTGGATACATACTGTACTAATGCATGCTCCATTACCGTTATCAGGAGTTTGCTATCAAAGGAGTTTATAGATCCTATCCTCAGTCCAACTAATATCAGGTGCATTAAAGTCTCCTAATATCAAACATATGTTATTTGCACTCCATAGCTGAATATGCTCTAAAATAAAATCATCAGCTAAGGAGATTGGGCTGCGACAGATGACACCGAGTATAAATGTATAAAATCAGATAGTCAGCTCACAGCTAATGACTTAACAAGTTCCACTATCATGGGATTCGCAAGCAAAGGAGCAGAAGATATTTATATTATTGGCTGTGTTTGAAAGGACTCCACCTCCTTTCCTACATCTTCGTCTATCACTTGCTAGGTAGTGGTATCCGGATAGTTCTGGAGTAATGTCGAAGTCCTGGACTAACCAAGTTTCCGTCACAGCTACAATGAGGGGCCTTGGTTTGTCAACTAATGCTCCCAGTTCATAGAATTTATTTCTTAGACTACGAATACTGACATATAAAACTCCTAAAGAGAACGGCCTATCCACACATGCCTTGGTAGCATTCGCTTCTAAGACCTAACTATCCAAAAACCCACTAATCGGAGATTTTCCTCACCATTTTGTCGATGGGTTTCTGGTTCAGCTAGTGCCAACATCCTTTTTATTCTATATTCAAGAAACATATCAGGCCTTACTTGAATGTCGGTATTGTCGTTACTACGAGCGCTACTTAACGAAAGACCATGTTGCTTCTCCAACCCTAGAATTACCTTAAGGAGTCTATATAGTCAGAGTTCACTGTCGTCAGTTCTCTTACCTTTTCTTATCAGTTTTTTGACCTGAACTTCTTTAGAGTTATCTGGTGAGATGCTACGGATAAGGTCTCTGAGCTTTTCCAAATCATGTGCGTGTCTAATTATGGGATCGAGATCGTTTGACTCTAGCAAATTACAGTAATATTCGATGAGATTAAATTCTCAGCCACGCCAGGGTGGAGTTCTGTCTTACTATCAGACTTTGGTAGTGTATTTTGTGACTCAGAATGAAAGTTCACCAATGACCTGCCAATCAAGTATGTACCGCTTATAGCTCTTTTTCTTTCACTGCTTTTTCTCGTGTGGCACATACGTATTTGGTGCCCCCTCGTACCATTATTTATGTGTTCAAATAAATTAATTAACAAATAAACTTTTTTTCCTCTGTACTTCCGTCCATTTTTCATCATTCAAGACAGCCACACGCGGACTATTAGGAACGGTGACGATTTTATCCGGGTCTTCTATTTCTATTGAAGGTGCATGACTAGCTACCCATGTCAATATCAATTTGCACTTCACTCCTCGTTGGTTTTAACGGAGATTTTTTTCGTCAATCACGTCCCGCAACAGCACGTATTACGCGGACACATTCTTCAATGTCAGTACTCGTATTACCAGCGAAACTACCATCTTCTTACTGGCCAAAGCTAATAGGCCCATAGCCTCCTGGAGCCCCCGAATTCCCTGGTATGGTCAGGAGTGGGGTGGGCCCTCTCCCCTCGAAATGCTCTCACACGGCCACGCGTATATAGCCTCTGCCAGGGAAGTCCTACTCACTGCCTTCTCGTGGCGGGGGTGTTGTTTACGAAAACGAGAGAACGAAAAGCGAATGTCCGGCGCTTTAACCGGATTCCAAACCAATGGTGCACATGGGCTCCAGTATCTTAACGGAACAAATGGCGTATGAACCAATCGTTGGTCACCGGCTTCCATGGGACTGTATCTTCTTACGATGCTCCACTGTGCCTTGTGGATCAGACCTTCAGGTCAAAGGCTCGGGGTGTGGTCCCCTAAGAAAACCACCTGCTTCGGTCTGGGCAACTGGGTAGTATCACATCACGAAGTTCTACGTTGTTACTGACTGACTGACCACACACAAGTCAAGTGGCTTGTATGGCGCATATGTATTCGGTGTTCCTTTGTATCAATAGTTATGTGATTAAATAAATAAAATAAATCCCTTCTCCATGGGGAATAAACAATTTCGCTGTCCACATTTATAAGTACTGCCAACTACTGTAATCAGATTATGGTTTAAATCACAATATGAACACACGTGTCAGAGTCGATGAGAAGGAAGGCAACACAAGACAAAATTTCAAACCTTAATCGAAATGTTTCAAGTTAAATAAAAACAAGAATGCTTTTTGATACAATAAGTAGAAAAAAACGAAGATAATCACAACAATTACTAAATCACTGCCCCTTTTGCTCTCAAAGCATGTAGCAATTTAGGTCATTTGTTTTGGGTATTCATTGTAGTGGCCATCGAGTTTCATGAACCATCCAGGTGTATATGATTGGACTTAATTCCTACATAGTACAAAAGTGAACCGATGACTCGTCTACGGACAGCTTTGGCCAAAGTTAAGTATCCACCCACAATTTGCTGCAGAAGTAGATATCGTGTCTCCGACTTGCATCAAGTTAGAAATGAATTAACTAATTGTATATAAGACTAACAAAACCTGAGTATCCAGAGGTCTTTGAAAATAATGTTTGTAAATTAATACTTCGGCTTATTGAGGGATCAGTTAGCTTACGATTATCGTAATTTGTCTTGGCTAACCTATCGAGTTTTCGGGCCTTATCCTACTAAGCTGCTTAATTGTTATAAATAAAATGTATTTACTCATGAGTATTTCTACGAAATTTCTTGCTATCCGGAAGATTTTGAACCTTGATAGTACCACCACCGAAAATTGATTATGATGTTAAGTTGGAAAAAGTAAACCAGAGTTTAGTCTGTCGTTTCACTGAAGGTTCAAATGACTAAATCTACGATATGTTATTATGTGGTATAATAATCAGTAATGATTACAACATATAATAAAAAGCAAATCTCACGTTTGATAAAAGGTAAGTTTTCTATAGGATTAAGTAAAGATGACGAACAGTGATGGTAAAAATATTTGAACCCTAAAAATGAGATGTTGGTCTGTATTTGTTTTTTAGTGCTCGTTGGGAAACCTTAAGTGATATGAAGCCAAAAGAAGCTGAAGTAGAGTTCATAAATAGGATTTGTCACCTATGTCCATTATTCATATCATATTTGGAAGCCTATTCACGCAGCAAAGGAAGTGTTGCTGATCATTTTTCAAAGTAAGAATTTTAAACAATCGTGATTTTACCTACTGCATTTAAAGATCCTATGATCACTTATAAATCGTAATACGTCTGTCACTTGGGATACCACCTATTCCACCAAGATCAGGAAAATTAAATTAAACTTAAATTTCATCCTGTAAAATCATATGTACATTTTATTCATTTAGTAGGTAAGAAGTCGGTTAGATGATTGTCATTCTTTATGATATTAAAGCGCTTTTTCTGATAGCTAGGGGGTGGAAATAGGAAATAGCCGAGTATATTATGTCTGTGGTTCCATGACAATACGTCTCAAAATTTACTTCATTAAGATTCGTTTACACTCGAGGATTAAGATTTAGTTGGTTATTTAAAGATAACTACTTTTAGGGTTCCTTGGTCATTAGTTTTTAAACAACCCTAAAATTACTGCCTTCAGGCCCAAATTGAAGGTTTTATAATAAGAGTAAACGGGCCTGTTAAAATAATACCTTGATCAGAAGTTCAAGATTTTAAACATTACTTCAATTACTCCAATCTAAGTTATTGATTAATCTTGACTACATTTATTATAAGTCGTTTACGTAGAACAGGTTTATGTACTTGACTGCTCGAAATAATGTAGATGCAGTGCAATTCAAACCTGTAATTTATTGGTTCAAGGCTCAACTCTTTGATTCAAAACATCACATTGCAATCCAAATTTATAGACTTCCTTGTTACTGGAGCAAGAAAACTTGTGGTGGACAGCAAGGTCTTAGTTGATTGGAGTATGAGTGGTCCGTAAATATGATTTTCTCCAGTTGCCACTGACATTTAATCATCTCTATCCCTCCATCGATATTTTGTTTATCAGAATGTTATTTTGTTAGGAAAATCTTGTGGCTAGTGGTCTTGTCTTTCATATCATAAAGTCATTCAGGACTTAAGTAAATAATTCAGTTTCGTGAGCAGCCATCACTCGAACATTTATCGCCCCAGATTATCGGTCAACCGGCATTCTTTACTTTAATTTTGACAGTTAAAAATCCATTTATTAAATCTCAAAATTGTAATCCGACAATCAGTGATCATCCATGTTTCTCCTTTTCAATTTATTAGCGCTACCGAGTAGTGAGTTCAGTCAGTCAGTCAGTCAGCTACAACGTAGGACCAGGCACATATGTGCATCGGTCCAGGTTGCCATACCGCATCAGCACAACAAGATGAACACCGGATTCATAGCAGTGGTTAGGTCAAAGGTAGTAATATGTAAGAGAAAGATTGCATATAGAGATATAGTCATTTTGTCCCTTCAGATTTTAAGGTAGCGCTTCAATGACTGGTTTAGATGTAGCTGGAAACTGACCTTAATAAGGATGGTAAATGCTTAAGCCATTTTTTTTTAAACCATGGTTTTTGTCTTTTATCTAGTTGAAAGGAACTTTTAATTACTAAGATGCTTTATCGGTATCCAAAAACTTGCTCGTTCTGATTATTCTTTTAATATGCATTCGGTCCTAGTCCTTTTTCAGCCTTCATACTTTGTCAAACTTTGATAGAGAATGTAATAAACACACATGTATGCTTTATTAGCACTTCTTTTGTGAATTTACTCGTCTGATGCTTAAAGTATCTATCTGTTCTGTAAAATCCTGTAGCTGACACAGGCAATAAAATATTCGTAATTTTTCACATAGAATTCCCTATACTTTCTTTTACTACTTTCTTTATTCTAGAGAAACCAACGTTTCTAGTCTGAATGAACCTGCTGGTACCATCGATAATGGTGATCAATCTTGTTTCATTTTAAAAAATGAGTAAGTGCTCAAAGTTTCGAAATCGGAGTTATTAGCTAGATTCTTAAACTAATTTTGAACCAAAATATTTTTAAATACTTAAAAAACCCAGTTTATTTGCTTTTGTTGACTTTAAGCTTTTAGTTCTAAACTGTTTTACGAAATGTATAATAGTCTTCAATGAAACCTGTCGAATATCTATGTAGTAACTTTTGTTCCTAGTCTGCAGTGTTTAATTGTCGAATTTTTCGTGTTGTGTATTTACTTAACACAAGTACCTATCGTCCTGAGAAATTAAGAGTAAAAAATATTAAGTGAATATTTTCAAACCACTGAAAATGTTTATGAACCATTCCCAATCAAACATTTGATGAAATATCAGATATTTTATTTTAATTGTTTTAAACCTCATAAATGAGTTTTTTGGATAGTTGGAAGTGTTACATTTTTCCCAGTGAATATTCAACTAATTATTTCAGAATTTAAGAGAGTGAGTTGGATTAAAAATATTCTTGTAGGCCAAAACATTGTTGTTTAGATATATTTCTTGCATTTTTGTAGTTGCTTTTTTGTTAGAGAAGTGGCTAGCTGCATGTAACAAAGTGTATGTTTTATTGTATCATCTATTTTATTTACCTTTCTTTTCAGATCTGAAATTCGAGCAGCTTTAAATGCTCAAACTGAAAGTCAGTTCCAATCTTATGCGTCCCTTCATTATCCCACAGATGCAGTTAAGGTTTGTTATTTCCTTAATCATAATTTTAATGTTTAAATGGGAATTATCTGTCAATCATAATTTATACCGTATGAACCTAGTATTTTCTTGTTTCTGTTTCTTACAAGTTGAGAAAAAAATGTTTTTTTTAGTAGAAGAAATAGAAAGTTATATAATTTTTTTGGGACGAAAAATTCAAGAAACTTTATTCTATACAACTTTTTGGCAATTCTACGTGGTCTGTGGATCACTTTACAATGAAGATGTCAGTTTACGAACAAGGACAGGCCTTATACTAGATTAAAATCGTGCATCCAAATAGATGCAGCTCACAGTAACCTTCTTCTGATGTCTCTGCAGGCAACAGTCCTTCCGATTTTCATGGGATTACTATGTTTATGAATTAAATAAGTGTACGAGGAAAAAACGAATCCGTTATCACCAACGTGATTGAAAGCTTAGAAAATAAACTAGCAAACTTTACTTCAAAAATAAAATTATACCAACTGTCTCTACAATGGCAAGAATTTCTGATACTCTCTGTGATGATTGTTTGCTTACATTATAACTTTCTGTTGATTTTGTAGTCTGAGAACAGTTGACAGCTTACTTTCTCCTCTTTCATTTGTGGTGTCATGTTTATATATCATTATTTATTAAAATAGGAACTCTTGTGTCCCGTTTTGATTGTATCCTATGGAAATATTTCGTGTGTATTTTAAATCTGTTATATAGTACTATAGGCTTAGATAATAAATCTACGATTCGGTTCACAACAATTTCATACACATTTAGGAGTGCTTTGATTGATATTTTTAAAAAAATATTGCAAACATAGTTGCTGTGTTACTGGGAGTACATTGATAACTGGCATATGTTTCAGCAACTCAATTTTACCTAAACAGGGAAATCTAGTTTTAGTGTTTGGTACATTAATATAATATGTCATAAATCCTTTGTGTATTGTAATTCCTTATACTTGAGTTTGTTCTCATTTGTCTAAAAACATCTAGTTACTAGTACTACTGATACTTTTCTGAAAATTATTCTTAGATGGTAATGTGTTCAATTTACTTCTTATGAGTTTTTTAAAATTTAATCTAATTGTTTCTCCGCCAGGTATTGTTTAACAGTTTTCGTTTAAATCTACCTTCATGTATATCAAGTTACTAGGACTAGCCTCTTGACTAAAGTTATGTTATGAACATTTACGGAAATTTACAATCTCACAACCATCGTAGTTACTGTACTTTGTGATCCAGATAATTGTTGGTTATTCATACCTCTAATTATGTTCTATTTTGTAAAGGCAAACTACTACGTTGATGGTACTTGTGGGGTTAGGTGATTAAGTGGATGTTATAATTGGAGGTTCAAAGGACCTTTGAGTTAAAGGTTCGGGTGTCACTCCTTTGGATTGTATCACTACTAGCCAATATACAAAAAATGTGTTGTTTAAAGACAAATATGCGATACTTTACACATATTTGCATACTGGAAACTAATAATTGAATGTAATAGTTCATTTCCTTGTCCTATGCTTTTTAGGAACGAAATTCTCAACACCAGTGTTTATTTTTGTTTCCAGTTCAGCTGTCGCTTGATCGTATTTTCACTCATAGATTGTTTCTTGCAATACCTTACAGAGCTGTGGTATTTGAAGACATAAGAAATGACGTATATTGAAGTGTTGAAGATGAGGTTTAATTAATATCACTCGATAGTCTCACCAATAAGAATCTAGCTTATAATCCACTATTCGGTCTATAGACCAACGTCCTACACTTTGATCAGTTACACATTTTGATTGATAGTAATTAATCTGGAGTTGTGGTCCAGATAATCTAGACGCTTATTGGACCAGAAGTTCCCCTTTTTCTATACCCGAGTGTTGTGAACGAGGACACAGGTGGGGACAACCGATGTTCTTTAATACAAGATTACAGAATGTTTTGGTAAAATATGAGGACCATACATCGAATACTTCATTTGCGATTTTCCATCATTTTCCCTTCATATTCAGTATGATTCTAAGCATTCTCAATTCCTTTCTATTGCCCTTTCTATTCTCTTCGACTTGATCTTCTTAGCCTTCTGCTGCCCGGGGTTTTCACTACCGATTGGTGTTATATACTAATTATATCTGTCGACATAAGTAACATATACCACACCAGTACTAAGTTCAGTAGAGGAATGCAGGAAGTAGATAAGATCTCCACTTTACAGTTGTTACTACGACTCAATCTCGTACAATAATATAGAGTAATTGCCTAACCGCGCATCAACATGAATGAGAAATTATAACACGAGCATAACTACATCATAAGTGAAAGTAAAGGCAAATAATAGTTCTGAAATTAATTAACAATTGCTCAATGAAGGTAGAAAGTACAACGATAGTTTATGCGCCAAACAAAATCTTACAATCAGGAAAATGTTAGAAAACAACAATCCAAGTAATACTCAAAATTATCAAAGAATATATAATGTTTAGCAATCAAATCTTTACTGTGCTTATCCAATCATATTCAGATATTGACTTTAGTAACTAGGATAACATGACCCAGTTATATGCGAATCATGTGAAAAGTTCATAGTGTAAAAGATAAATGGATGAATAAATTATGTGTTTACTGCGCAGCAGTTCATTCCGTCCTACTTTATGGCAGTGAAACATGGCCGGTAAGAGTAGAGGCTATCCGTAGGTTACTAGTATTCGATCATAGGTGTCTTCGAAACATTGCTCGTATATCCTGGGACCATCGAGTAAGTAATGCAGTTGTTAGGAAACGGGTACTAGGTAAGGATGGCAAATCAATTGATGAAGTAGTGAAACTTCATCAGTTGAGATGGCTGGGACACGTGTTACGTATGCCCAACGACCGACTGCCTCGACGTGCTATGTTCAGTGGTATAGGAGTAGGTTGGAAGAAAGCTAGGGGCGGCCAAACCAAAACATGTCACAAGTCCATGAAGTCACTGACAAGTGGACTGAGTCATGTTGGTAGGTGTAGACTACCTGGCTGGGATCCGCAAGATGATAGCAACCGATGGTTAGAGACCCTGAATGACATGGCTCAAAATCGTTTGCAATGACGCAGGTGCATCCACTCTCTGCGTTCTCCCAAATTCTAATCTTCTGAATTCTTCATGTCCCTTTTTTCCTCTTTCCAAATTTATTTCACTGGATTATACTCTTTAAATAACATCTCCAAACCCTAATCTTCCCGATTACTGCTTATACTCTTATTACCTCTACCACTACGGGATTTGAATCGACAACTGCATCTCTGTGCTAATGTGGTGTGGCAACTCGAACTGATGTACGTACGTACGAAGTTCTACGTTGTTACTGACTGACTGACTGAAATCGTGTGTATGTACGTGTAAGTTTGAGTTATTAATAGTTGATATTCGGTGTTAATTTGTTTTTATATGAAGTAGAAATAAAAGTGCAAGTTGAAGTTTTTGAACCGTCGATGTGCATGTAAAACCAAAACCATCAAATACATAATTGTAATGCTAAAATATCCCAATTAATTTCTGTCAGAGTAATGATGCATGTGAAATGAACAGGTTGACGAGATAGGGTCCAAATACTTGTCAATCAACATTTGCCATGTGGTAGCTAGTTGAATACCATCCTCTCTGTTCAGGCTGTTCTTACTAACCCACATACACAGCGCTTCTGCCGTCAATTTTTTTTCGTGTGTGCCAAAACCTTTCCGAAATATTTTGATCCCTTCAGAATTGATCCTATGATCTATTTCTAACGCATGTAACGCTATCTCCGACCTATTCTCAAGTTTCTTAAGATCAACCAAGAATTTGGGAAAATTTTTCACACATTATTTGTGTTCCCTTAACCTCACATTCAGTTGTCTAGAAGTTTCTCCCACATAGGCTGCATTAAAATCATGACAATTGATCTCATAGACAACATTCTGTTGTTCTTCCTTTGGAAAGATACCTTTAACTTTCACTAATAATACTGATCTTATGGCGTCACTAGCCCGAAAATACGCTTATGTTATATTTTTTTCAAATCCCCTTAATTTTTCTCGATGTTTCTCTACGGCATAGGATGGCCAATGTGATCTTTCGGTATATATCAATTTAGTTCTTTCGTTTCTAATAATCTTTAAAAACTTTTGTTAGCCCCAAGTGTAAACGAAATTCCATTCAATCCAACTTGTTAGTCTTCCTTCTCTGTAATGAGATTAATACTCCTGTTAATTGTTTCAAATATAATTTTCTTAAATAATGTCTTCTCTATACTCGGCGCCCAATATCTTTCAAACGATATTCTTACAAATAATCGTGAAAATATAAACAATAATTCATCATATAGTATCGAAAATTATTGATCGCACATTATTCGTCCCGTTATAGCAAGCAGTTTTGTCACGTTCTACTCTGCCTATATTCTTCGGTTAATGCACTTTACTCGATCCCGTTGAAGATAAAAATCATCTGGACACAAAATATATTCCTAAGATAAATAATGGAAGAAAGTATTCCAAAGAAAAATTCCATGTGTTTACGTAATAATTATGTGGGAAACGTCTAACATGCTATTGTCCTCCAAATCTGATTATTTGGAAAGGGACCAGCCAGCATTTTCAAATCAGTCAGTCAATCAGCTACAACGTAGGACCAGGCACATATATGCATCGGTCCAAGTTGCCATACCTCATTAGCACAACACGATGAACACCGAATCCATAGAAATAGTTAATTCAGTATTGGTAATATATAAAATAAATATTGCTTGAGAGGACATAGTACAGGAAGAAAGAAGTAGTTCGTAGAAAGAAATGTGTGAAGCGATTTTAATCTCACGGTTGGAAGGAGGACAGAGTATATACACTGACGCCATTGTAATCGAGTCTAAGCTGTGTCACACAGAGTCTGCAATCATTAGTTACGACAGTCTGCATCTACCAAATCATTCTTGTACTGAACACTAGCCGATTCATTAAAGGGTTTTACTGCTAACAACTTTGTTTTACATTTTATTTATAAGAATCATTAATGATTTTTTTTATGAGGTTTAGTTATTATTTTGAGTAAACATGCCCATTATATTTACACCTTTCATTTTTATTGTAATATACAGAGAGCTGAACTTATTGCACAGTTGCAAGATCGGCATTTTCACGAATATATGGCATACATACAACGTCAATATCGCTTTATTCAGCGATCACAGATTGAATCTTCCTCTCAGACAACCGCTATGTCGACAATGAATGATTCAGTTGAAGATTATCCAGTCACAAATGTAAAGTCAATGGACGGTGTAAATCGTTCAGAAACAGTCTCTTCCAATGTAAGTTGTATTGGTGTTCACTAGTCTACTTTCTTTAATAATAGAACAAATTAGAAGAAAGCATATATACGATAGAATAAATAGGTTTATAACAGTTAAAAAAATACCGACCACAACAACTTAAGTTTGTCAAAAAGAAAATTTTCTCCAGAGTTGTTTTTATTTCTTCAAGTTAAGAAGCGCGTGTATGTGTATGTGCTGTTACCATCGATTTTTGAGTCACTTTTATTAAAAACTTTAGTTTCTAGTATGTTTACGAGATTTCAGCCTGTAAACTCATACTTAGTCATACCGTCTGAATTTAAGTTGAAATTATTTTAGTACAACTCAGTAATCATATACAGGTTTCTATATTCGGTATCGAGCTACACCTTTTACATGGTAGCTTGGGGTAACTGGGATTATTCAGAGCTAAGTTGTTTGGGTAGTGTTTAAGCCTGGGACTTAAATGGTCAGAAACGGAGTGAATCCTCCACTATTATTCAGTTACTATCTGAACTTTGTTTCTGATCTATCCAGCGTAAAGTTCTAAGTTTTCGTACTTGTCTCTTCAATTCATTAAATATTCCCATTGAGATATTGAAAGGATAAATTGCCCAGTTCCTGTGCCTCAATGTGTATTTATAATTTCAAATGCTATTGCGGAACTAGTTACATTGGGCGCACAACTCGACAAATGCATTATCGTATTTCTGAACATCACCCTTCATGATTAACCAAAGGACAAAATAAAGTAATAAGAAGCCGTCCTTACGCGTCCAGTTGATACTAGTTACCACGTAGATAAAACTTCAGCGTCTAAAGTCATTTATAAGTCCCACCGAATGCATTGTATGGTTCTAGAATCCGATTCTAAAATATGTCAGAAGTCACAGAAATACACAAAAAAGCCTAACCTATCTCTTCAATTTGTTATTACTAGTCGCAATGGGGATTACATAGATATTAATATTTTAGTCGATCCATGTTCAAAAATTTACTTATTGTGCTGATTACGTTGAGTCCCGCATAAATAATGCACATAGGTAATAGTGAACTGATATCTTTGACCGGCTACTATCTCAGTCCAACAGTTAAAACTAAACCACCGTTCTTATGGATCTCGGTTTATGTCGATATCTTATTCAGGTTGCTTGATAATAGGTGGCGATTGGAACCTAGCTGGAGGTTAATTACACTGTTCCTCGGTGTCCCATTCATCACTCTATACATCTTGACTGATAGTCGATCATGTTCTCATTTTTTACGGATATGGTTTCGCTAAAGTCTATTTTTTGATACTCGTTTATCTCAGAAGCCTAAAAATTAATTTTTACCTATCACTGCTGTCTTTCCCATTTCCTTTACATTTGCCACTGCTATTCATGATGAGTGCTTTCGCTCTTCATCGTGTTTGAAGTCTGATGGGCTGAGTCTCTTGGTTTCTCTCAGTTCAGTAGGTGCCACTGAAATCCATTAGTCTTTCTTAACTTTTGACTTAATTCACTTATGGATATCACCGTTGGATTTTTACCTACTCAATCAGTGCTGAGCGAAGCTAATTTTTCTTTTAAATATGTCGTAGATCCGTCACAATACTTCCAAACCTCCGTCTCAAAGCCATGTGCAGAAGTTGGATGTGGTCCCGTGAAACTCGCTCCGTTAATGGCTGGTTGTATAGACACCTTAATCTCTTCCCTAAATATCTATACTATTCCCAGTGTATCATTGTCCGTCAAAGTTCCAATTAACTTTGCAAGCATTCTGAGTCTTTTTAGTTGTTAATTTTGTGGGTTAGCGAATCAGTGAGTATATTCTGAAATTGTGATACTCTTTTTGTTGTAAGTTTGTGTAGCACACCTGTAGTGCCGTACATGTTAGTCATTTGATATTTTATGTTTGTCATAACAACTTTCTTCTGCATTTGACTTTATTTACTTCGAATGTACAGTTTACGGTTTACAGTTATTATTCAAGGCAAATTGCTTATAAGCTTACTACTGTTAGGTTCTGTTTTCTTCGTGACCAATAATTAACTTAATTTTGTAAGGTGTAGTTTCAGTCAGACCGTTTTAAAAATTAAACTTTGACATGATCTAATGATTTCAGTTGCTGAAAACTTAATGAAAAGAACATCATATTGCACAAATTTATGAAGTGTGAGAGAAGAATGTCGTTTGGTTATGGTATTATAATTTAAATATCCAATGTACTTGTCAATTATTTTGCATTATGTTGGTAAAAACCAGTCGAAATCAACATGATTCACTATGATTCATGAATAACAGGTGGGATACAAATAACTTATCGAGATTCTGTATATTGTATATGGTTGGTTGCCGTCGTATGCTTATTTTAGTTCCTTTTTACACTTAAGTAATAGATCTTGTTCCCAACTCTTTCGTCATCGTATTGATTGGGATTGTTGGAAATCTTTTCCTTCAGATCTACGCACACTTATATAAACGTTTATGTATACTTGTATTCCTTTAATATCTAGGAGGATTATATCAACGATCAATCTGTTCTCAACGGCACAGTGCAGTTAGAGGCGTCTTTACATTCCCCCGAGATTCAAAAAGAAAACTCAGTACCCGCTGATGTTTCTGTTAACGACCTGTCTTGTACAGATACTTCAGGTTCGTCTTTTCTTTTTGAATATATTGATAAATTTCATCGTGAGTAAATTTATAATTACAGATCAGATAACTCTTTAGCCATGCTACGAACACAATCTTATTCCACTGACTCATGTCTTCTATTGGCTATTCATTTTTTTCGTATTGTCCGCGTTTTTAACTCCTATTGTAAGTATTGCGCTAAAATTATTTGGAGGATATTAAGCCTGCATTAAAGTAACATGTATACATGTAGTGGTTTGGCTTCAAGATAATTCATTGGGCTTCGTATATTAATCATCCTGATAACCGTTATTAAAGATATCCCAATGGTGTATTAATTCAGAAGGCAACGTGAAGCGCCGACTACAATGTATTATTGAATAGCACAGGTCACAAATCTACAAGTGTACACCAAGCGAATTTGAGCAGAAAAGCTAGCGCGCGCGAGCAAGCGAATACAGAGTCGAATCAATTAATGAAATTCAAGCGCATAAATATGGGAAAGCGAATGATTTGTCGAGCGATATTCAAGCAACTAACATTTAAGCTAGAGAGGGATATGTGCGTACTCTTTCATATGTGATCAAGCATACATGTTTATACAGACATGATATTAATAATGATAATAATAATAATAATAACAATAGTAATAATAATAATAATAATAATACGTAGACAAATTGTTACCGATCGGATACCACTGTTCGTTAAATAAGTTAATTGAGAAGTTTGGCAAAATCAACCTTAAAAAACTTAACTGTACGAGAGGTGCTATATACGCCTCAAAAGTCAAATACATCCAGTGATATTTGTTTTAAGTTTAATCTAAAAAGAAGCACACCCCGAGGGCAATACGAAATATGGGCAGAGATGAATATCCAGGCAATCCGCCTAGGATGCACATATGCCAATAAAAGACTGATCAATTGCAGTCTTAAACATCAATGGGAAGATCCAAACAAACAATACAAAAGTGGATTAAATACAAAATGTGGTACTTTAGGCAGGAATACAGCTATGTTAGTCAACGTATAGAACTTAGTATAAATCACGTCGACATTCCAAGAGAGTAATTTAATAAAATACAAAACAAAGAAGTTAACATTATAGTAGTACTAATGAAAGGAACTAAACGTGCAGAACATACGTCAAAAAAAGTAACAAGTTGAAGAATATGAAGTATAAGTACGAGAACCTCGGATTTAGAAGAATGAATTCATCTGGGTCATTAAGACGAGTTCTGAATCATGTTGCAAAATGTAGTTCAAATAAAAGAACATTTAGTTATAAACTCTCATTCGCTTGTGTATATCTATATTGAACGTGTTGATGGGTTGCTTGGTCAACTAGTGAAATCTGTCTTGCAAACAGGTTTTTTCTCAAAAAGAAGAAATATTGCATACCCGTGAACCATGAGGCTTGTCAGTATTCAGTTAAGATTATTTTCATTGGTCATGAAATGATATTTCAAGCACTAAAATATAGTTGAAGTGGTTGGAAAAATTATTACATAGGGATATATTTGAGGCAAGCCAAATCACTGTTTATATCACGCTTTAAGTAATCTAAGTACACAATGCTTCAAGTAACACTTCCGCTTTTGGTCAGAATCAGTAAATAATAACTCATAAAAAGGAAATACATCGGTTTCTGACCTTAACAGGATTTTATTTCAAATGATCATCATTGCCTTTTATCATATTATATGACTTAATAGGATTACTCATGTTCTGGTATCACACTCAATGAGACAGATTAGATCCCTATTTTAGGCGTGTATAAAACATGTATGTGGTTAAGGATTGACAGGATTCATCAGGCTTTACTCTAATGTAAAGTAATATTTATATGCATATATGAAATTATTAAACCAATCAAGGTAGTTAATTTACAATATGGGAATATTTCAAAAGTTGTTTAATTATCATGAACCACTAAGGTGTTCTTTTATCTGAGTATAGTTTATTCCTTACTTGGGAATATTTTTTGTAAAGCTCCTAACTGAAAAAGTACGATTCATATTATGACGAGTTTCTATCCATAGCGGTGATTGTCCGTTTTGAGTGAGTAGGCAATCTTTACCTCAAAAACGTATTTCGTCCGATTAGTTTCTCAAATTAAATGATCAGTTAGTGGTTATTCTGAATCGTCTATTACACTGTGCTTGTATGTCATCAAGGCGAGCAAAAATTATTTTTCACCCAACATGGTTGGTTTTATGTTCATATTGTCGATTTTATTCCATTTGAGGTGATTTATTTCATTTTTATACCTCATGTTTTGTTTATGAGATCTATTAAACAAATTTTTTTTTAATATGTATATCCTTGTTAGATCTGTCAACTCTTGATTCAGATAAGAAATGCCTTGACACTGATCCTTACCTAAATGCATCTTTGGTGGTACATGCCCCTACATTATGGACTCGTGGGGAAGTTAAAGAATTTAAACAGTGTTTAACTGAAGATGAAGAGTCTATTATTCGAATAAACAGCGGTGAAGTTTATTCAGTAAGCTGTAATAATATTGAAAACATTGGGAATTTTTAAGATATGTTATGTATCTCTATCATTCAATCATACACAAGGTAGAACGTGTTAAACTTGATTTTTTAAAAATTGTAACACTATATCAACACAGCGGGGTGGAATTATCAAGACATACCACCAGATTAGTGACTCTGTCAGTGGTAGTAGTAGAGATTAGGTATAGACAATATGATTCGACGAAGGATGAGCTCACGGAATAAGTATTATATGGTAATTTGGAGACTCAAATTTTGAGAGAAGATAGAGAATGAACGTGTATATGCGACATTGTGACAAGGTCTAAGCCATGTCACTTAACGTTTCTAACCATTGGCCGCAATAATCATGAGGATTCAAGCCAGGTAGTTTGCATCTACCATTATACATATATCGTTAATCTTATTGAATTACATCTTCACTGTAGGCCGTTGCAATTGAAATATTGAGTTCTCAACATTTATTTATTTATTTATTTGAACACATAAATATTGGTACAAGAGAGCGCCAATATATATGCGCCACACAAAACAATGAGAATTCGAAGTAGAAAAAAAAACTAAGGAGCGCAAAAGAAAAAGAGAACAATGACGAAGAGATTGGAGTAAGGTAGTGTGGTAGTAACGACGGAACGAAAAGGTACAATCAGAAGAAATCTTTCAGGTAAATAAGATACAACCACTTTTTACGAAGAAAGTAAAAGAAGGTTACAGCAGGATCGCCACTGGCTTCTATTCTGAGCCATATCTGATAACGTCTCTAGCCACTGTGTAGCACCATCTCTCGGACCCCAGCCAGGGAGTCGTGAAGGACCAACAGAAGCCAGTCCTTTGCAGCTTTCTTTCATGCCACGACACCATGTCATGCACTGACCACCTCTCCGCTTTCTCCAACCGGTCCCAGAGTCAGCAAATAATGCACGACGTGGAATTCTCTGGGACGACATTCGTAGAACATGTCCAAGCCACCGAAGTCGGTGTTTCAAGATGGTGACACCGATTGGATTATCGTCTCTGTGCCTGAACACACGATGCCGAACCTCTGCATTACTAACATGGTGTTGCCACTGGATGTCAGCAATCCTTCGGAGACAACGATGATCGAACACAGAGAGTCGTCTAACGTCCTCAACTTGGAGAGGCCAGGTTTCACAAGTATAGAGCAAAACTGCTCTCACCGACGCGTTGTAGATCCGGCCTTTTACAGCCAGACTAACATCACGAAGGCGCCAAAGATGGCCCAGATTGGCATAAGCCGCTCTGGCTTTCACTATTCGTGCATTGATCTCATCACTCACACCCCCACCAGCACTTATGCAGCTACCCAGATACACGAACTTCTCAACTACATCTATCTGCTCACCATCCAGGGTGAGTACAGGATTAGAATCCTGCCAGTCTTGTAGAAGTACTTTGCACTTCGAAGGTGCGAAGCACATACCATACCTACGGACACTGATTGCCAACTGATTAAGTGCGGATTGCATGCCTTGGGCATTATCGCACAGTAAGACAATATCGTCCGCATACTCAAGGTCGAGAAGTCTTTCTCCAGGCAACAGATCCACACCGCCGTTACTTACATTCATCAGAGCTGTTTCCAGAATGTCATCGATGGCAAAGTTGAAGAGGAATGGTGAGATTGGGCAACCCTGCCTAACCCCACTGCTCGAATGGAACAATGGAGAGAGGTGGTTGTATGCCATCACTCTGCCTGAGGTGTTTTTATACAGGCCTTTTAGGATGTTAATAAACTTCTCAGGCACACCCTTCTTCAATAGACAATCCCAGAGAACAGTCCTATCCAACGAATCGAAGGCAGCCCTGATGTCAAGAAACACTACGATTGTTGGCCTTTGATAAGTATGGCGGTGTTCTAACATTTGGGGGAGGGTGAAGATATGACCAATACATCCTCGACCAGAACGAAACCCAGCCTGCTCCTCGCGAGTCAATCTTTCTCGGGTTTTGAACAACCTACGAAGTATGATGGAAGCCAATCGCTTGGACGCAATCGGAAGTAAACGTATCCCCCGATAGTTGTTACAGGAACGACGTGAACCCTTTTTAAAGATAGGGACAACTATCGACTCATTCCATGACGTTGGTACACTCTCTAGTTCCCAAACCTTTGTAAACAACGTCGTCAATTCCTTAGTCAAAAAGTCACCACCATCTTTAAAAGGAGCCGGAGGTAAGTCATCTGGGCCAGGTGATTTGTAACGCTTCAAGAGTTGGAGTTCCTTGCGGACTTCCTCCTCATTTGGTGGATCAGTCGTCACCGGCCATGGAGGGCAGGACAGTCTGACCGATGTTGCCGGAGCAGCAGGCCAGTTGAACTGCCCTTCGAAAAATTCTGCCCATCGTCCAAGACGTCGATGGATGTTAGTGATTGGCATCCCATCATCCTCGCAGATTGTTTCACTCACACCAGACTTCTTGCTGCCAGTGGCTCGGATGAGCTGGAAGAGCTTCCGGTAATTACCAGATGCAGCTGCTGCTTCCAGCTCATTAGCACGCATCGACCACCAGGCTTCTCGGTCCTTACGCAAGCTTTGCCCAATTTCCTTACGTAACATCCTTCGTTTATGGTCAAACTCACGGTCACCCGGAGTAGACCGACGGGCTTCAATGAGTTGTAAGGAACCTGGAGAAACCCAGTGCTTAAAAGCGGGACGTCTCGCAAACCCACAACTGACCGTTCCCGCCATTTTCATGGCGTCATGCAATTGCAACCAATGCTCATCTATACTTTTCGATGGAGTGGTAGCTAGCCTAGAGGCTAACTCGGTTCGATACTTACTTGCAACAGAAGTTGCAACCAGCTTGCTAACATCAATCCGTTGATGGCGTTCACTTCGTTGGCCACTGAAAAGTAAGGCAAGATTGGCGCAGACCAAGGCATGGTCAGAGTCCAGATAGGTACTCGAAAAGGAGCGGCAGTCTTTTACACAACCACGCCAGCGGTAGCTGATCGCGATGTGATCAATCTGAGTCCAGGCTTGAGATGCAGAGGGAGGACGCCAGGTGGCACATCGGCGATGACTGTGCCGAAGGTTAGTGCTAGCCAGAAACAGGTTGTGGTCTGTGCAAAGTTGCAGTAGACGGTCCCCGTTATCTGACCTGCGACCAACGAGTCCCCATCGGCCACCTAAACGACTCTCTTCTGTGCCTAGACGCCCGACCTGAGCATTCAAGTCTCCGGCTAGTACTACAATATCTGTCGAACGTTCATTCTGGAAAAGAATAGATAATTGGTGGTAAAACTCATCCTTGATTGCATCTGGGTTGCAATCTGTCGGAGCATAGGCGGAGATGACGAAAAGTCATCGTTTCTCACGCCTATTTCTTCTCACTTTGATGGAAATTTCTAATCTAACAGCACATAACCGACTGCTAATGGGGATCCAATCGACTAGTGCTGCCTCAGCTCTAGCGCTTAGTGCGACACCAACGCCAGCAAGACCAGACAAAGATGCCACAGGGTCCCCGGATAAGCGCACGTAAAACAAGCTTTTCGAAGCGACAGATGGAGATCGAATTTGTAGTGCTTCGCCAGAGTCTTGAATACGCGTCTCGGATAGACAACACACGTCGATATTAAGACTTTCCAAAGACATAGCCAGCCCTATCTGTTGTCCGACCTGCATAAATGTGCGAACGTTGAAGGCAGCCAGTTTGAATGGTGCGCGTGGTTTCAGAAAAACTGCTTCAGTCCTCGTATTCGGTGGTAACATACAATTTTCAACCGGACCGTGACTCGAGAACGTTTAGATACAGTCGGATTTCCACCAAAGACGAGCCGCTGTATAAGTATAAAAGAGGGTGAATAATGTGGAAAATAATAATAATAATGATAATAATAACAATAATGACAATAATAGTAGTAATAATAATGTTAGTATTAATAATGACAATAATTGTAATGATAATAATCTGAATCAATTGTTTGTTTTTCAAAGCGAGAAATGTAATTTCCATAGGCATAAAGAGTTCATCAATTTGTGTGCGGGCTGTGATACTGCCCGGGTGCCCAAACCGAAGCAGGTGGTTATCTTAGGGGGCCACTCCCCGAGCCTTTGACCTAAAGGTCTAACCCACAAGGCAGTGGAGCATCGTAAGGAGATGCAGTCCCATGGTAGCCGGTGACCAACGATTGGTTCATACGCCATTTGTTCCCGCAGGATACTGGAGCCCATGTGCACCATTGATTTGGAATCCGGTTAAAGCGCCGGACATTCGCTTTTCGTCCTCTCATTTTCGTAAACAACACCCCCGCCACGAGAAGGCAATGAGTAGGACTTCCCTGGCAGAGGCTGTATACGCGTGGCCGTGTGAGAGTATTTCGAGAGGGAGAGCGGACTCTCGGCCGTACCAGGGCATTCAGGGGGGCAGTTCTCAACAGGGGTAAAACAGTAGTATACTGTTGTTTAGTTCTCTTCACTAGTTCTCCAGGTGAAATAACTTTGATGTATTATTCTGGAAATTCCTTGTTGATAAATTTATCTGTGCACTGGTCTACTGAAAAAAAAGTACACTGGAAGAAAATCACTGACCACTCAGTCAGATTTTACATATATGGTTTTGGTCAAGCTGTCTGATTAAAGATTCGTTTGAAGATTATGAAGGCACTATCTTAGCGTTTTAGAAAATGGCTTACTGAATAAGTCTGGATTACGAAGCTGATAAAACAGTCTATACAAACAATCGTACCCTATCATAATCATTGCACTGAGTCTTCAAACAGCAGAATTATTAACTTCCAACACTAACTTAACGATGGATGCAAGTAAATTGGTTTGTTCGTAGTTGTTAAAGTGGATTTGCACCAGATTATAAACCCTTTGGAGATGCATATTTGGGATGTACTTTTGAATTGCTTCACATTCACATATATTGTTTGAATAACCCCTAAAAGGTAACTGAGAATCCTCCTAATTTCTTAGCTCGGAGATGAGAACATTCTGTGTACAGTTAGGAGATAATCGAATGGATAACCACAAAAGTATTAGAACTGGACTTAGGAATTTTGAGATAGTTGATTTCCATCAAATATAGTAAGCAGATCATAGTTTGTACCTACTTATTCTGTTTGCCTTCAGAATTCACTTTTTCGTTCATTTAAATGTCCTTCAATCTCCTTTAGCTTTCACATTTTGTTAAATTTTGACTATCGCGTTTAGTCGAAGTGGTGTATTCTTCACAGAGTTTGGGGTGCATAGTGTACTTGGCAGCGATTAGCATTAAAATGGAATCATTGACTGCTCATCATGTTGGTGGGTGCAGACTACCTGGTTGGGGTCTGAGCGATAATCGCGATCAGTGGCTGAGGATTGGGTGAAATTGCTAAACATTCACAATGGAGCAGATGCGCTCACTCTTCATCTTCCCCTGTATTTTAGATTCCAGTATTCCTTCGCATATACATTTTTACTTTGTGTTTTCATGTCCTCAATCTTTTTTATGGTCACCGTTACTGCATTATTCCGACCTATTTTATCATGCGTGTTAATTTCACATCGTCACGCTAATCTGGTGGACTAACTTAGACCAGAGCACATCTGTCAGACTACGTTGATGAAGTAAGCCGATAGTGGAGCATATGCTTCGAGGTTTTATGCTAAATTTGTCTAATAGTTCATCTTACAGATACTCTAGGCGTTTGCATTTTTGAAAAACATTAATCTAGGTTCGTGTTCAAACACACCCATCGGGCACGAGTATAGTCTGGGAGTTCGCTACAGATGACTACGACATTGGATTCGGTTTGTTTTTTGAATGGGCGGGACCGCTTTCTGATCCTGAAGTGAAACACAACAACCATACTGCATCAGTCAATGCCGAAGGTAAGTGTTGAAAGGGGGTAACATGAACAACATTATCAATAAACCTATCGATTGACTGAATCTTAATTATTAACACTGTCTGCCTCCTTCAAACTACCATCAAAAGAGAAAATCAATATTCGCTAATTCATTATTAACTTAAATATCACTCAGACCTACCCGGCATATATATGTGCATGGATTCAAGTTGTCACATGTACGCATCCTCATCACAGTGGACCAAGACCCACTATTTCACGAGTCGACTTGCCATCCTTACCTAGCACTTTGTGTCTAACTCAAGTTTGACTTACTCAGCAATCCCAACGTATACAAGTAATGCTTCAAACTTGCAACCTACAGATATTCTTTATTCTTAATAGCTATATTTTATATCCGTAGAGCCGAACAAAGTAAACTCGCCCTCTGGTTGGGAGACGACTATCTCACCTCCAAAAGTGATGTGAATTTGTAAAAGCTGAGCTATCTAAATCCATTCTGAAATTTCATCGGATACCAATCCTCCAGGGTCGATGAGACTTCCAAGATAAGTGTAATGGTTGACGCACTGAACTACTTCACTTTCTGTCGGATACATGAAACATAATTATGAATTTAACGTTGATAGTAAAGATGCTCATTGGTAATTTGACTTGAGAGTTATTCCAAAACCCTTCAGTATCTTTCAATTGTTTAGTCATGTGATTCCGCTTAGACAGTAAAACGATTTAGATACAAGAAGAAACTATAATGATGTTTTAATTTTTCCAGATGGTCACTCAGTAGTAACCAAGGCAGAGAACCCGGAAAAGTCTAATATCTTAGTTGATGAGATCATACCTGTTTCACGACAGAACTCTCAAAACGAAGTGTGCTGTGGATCTCATTTGTATCCAGGTGCGGGGACATATGTTTTCAAATTCGATAACTCCTTCTCCTTATGGAGGTCGAAAACCCTCTATTATCGCGTTTGCTACACATACTAGAGTGTTCATTTTTCAAGGTGGAAAATCTATGCAGTTTGTCAAAAATTTGGCTGTGCACCATAATTTCCTAACTTTTTTCTGTACTTCTACTTTCTTTATAAGTTTAATAAAAATGGTTCAAAGTGCCTTTTTATAATAACTAGTGTCAACATTGCACAGTAAACATCATTTGGAAAATTGAGTTTTTTTACTGGGTTTAAAGTTTTTTATGATATATTAGTGGTCGGTCTCATGAAATCTGAAATTCAAGTTGGTCTTTTTAATTGCTGCAATTCGTTTCTGGAAGTTATGTTTACGCCTTCGGACAGCTTGGGGTAATGATTTTCTTACTGAACTATTGGTAAAATCCATTCCTTTGCGGGCGTTTAGGGCTGTAACACGCTTTATTGTTGCTATGGTTTGGTTTTCTTCATGTGATGCACGAGTTGAATTTCGTAGGTATCTGCTTATTCGAAATAGTCGCTTATTGTCTGCTAAGACTTCACCTATTCATAAAAATGAACGAATTAAGAAGTTCATGTTACAATGATGTATGAGGAAAGTTTATCCAAAGTAAAATAACTTGTTTTTGCGTCTTGCATAAATATGACTACGTTTTTGTACCTTAGTAAAAACTTTGAGTATTGAGTAGCGTTGCTATCAATGATACAATAGATGCGACTCACATTCCATATGTAGACCTTCATTGTGTTGTAGTAAATTAAGATATGTTTAGAATTACACATCCCAGACTGACTTTGTTGAGGCACCTACCCATCATTGTTGAGGTCGTTGATACACGTTTGAGTCATATACTAGGATGGAGTAGGTGTTCAGTATTCCGTTTTAATGGCTCTATAACAAAGTCATTACGTAATATGAAACAATGCGGCAATTTCCATATAATGGAATGCCTTCATTTTGGTTTATCACTGCTTGAAAACAGGTCAGCAGTAACACGGTTTCTCCATGGCTAGCCTTCCATAATACAGTAGCAACACAAATTAGTACTGCTGATAGCAGCTAATACAACGAAATTTTGTAGTATGTTTATCCATCAAGTTATAAGATATGTGACTTGATATACTATTTAAACTAGCAGGATTTGGTCCCTTCCCCGAGACGTCGCATTTACAAACGATATATAGTCTGGTAGTATACTAGCAGAATTTTTATCCTACTACTAACAAATGCACGATGAGAGAAAGCATGTTTACTTTCTGTTGAACTGTGAGTATTCACATTAGGATGATAAAATTATTAAATACATATAAGTCACTTATGATTCAAATCACATGCTTGCTGAAATCAACATTTTAAAAAAATACTGCTTTTACATATCCAATATAATGTTCCTGTCGTAAATGCTCTCACTATTTTTGAGGCATATAACTCAAAGTATATATATGTATATAGACAATATTAAGATAGCGAAATGTCCGAGGTTTTGAAGTAGGTGGTTGGTAGAGTTGTGAATTTGGAAACGTAGACAACGTAGAAACTGGCACATGTGCATACCGGTTCAAATCCTTATACCTCACCAGCACAGCAAAATAAAACTGTCAAGACAATTCGAGAGAAATAGTTGCGTTTATAGTTAGACGACTTATTATCTCGAGAGGCCGGTATGTTTACATCTTCAAGCCTTTTACGACTAGACATGACACAGACTATACTTTGGTACACTAGCAATTTAATATGTAGCGACGTTCTGAAGGATATTAATTACTGAGACGGTTGAAGGAAAATTTACCTTAGCTTTTTTACTTAGTGGGATCTGAACTTGTAGCCGGAATAGTGGTGATGATTGAACCTAGCGACTCAGATTGCAATAAAACTGTCAAAAAACGTTCTTTGGGTGTCTGTTTCATGAATCAGTAAACGCTATCGTAGCAGACAGTGTAGGCTGGGGTATAGCCCAACACGGTCGATACAAAACTCAGAAGACAGTGATTCGAACACTCGGTCACTACTTAGTTATCAGTCTAAGCACGAAACTTACAAACGGGAAGTAATGAGGTACGCAGTTTGCAGCCTTAATTATTTGCTTAAGTACACTGAATGATTAGTCGCCTTAAAGTAACAGGTCTATGTTGTCTGTGTGCTTTTGGTAGGTAAGTGTCAATCCTAAAACTTGTAGCTGAACATAATTTCGTCAAAGTATAACAAATTCAGATGGAACTGGTACTTGTATGCAGGCTGTAGTAAGATTACCGTAGCCATAATCCATTATTTGAGAGTATCACTCATGATATGGTTAAAACTCAAGCAAAATGCACTCTTCAGTGTAATACGAATATGCCAATGCAACGAGAAAGTAAGATTGAAACTCCCCATTACGAGTCACTGGTATAGTAAGCAGACAAGCATTCAAGCAGCAAAACTTTGACAGATCACGGGATTTTTTTCGTGATGGAAACCCTAATTCTGATACCAACCTTGACCATCAGCAATAAATCACACCTCTGATTCCTCACACTAGTTTACAACGGTCATTTGATCCTAGTCATTAAATGGACATTCTCAGGGTCACTCTAATATCGATTAGAGGTCGTCCATAAATTATAGTCACACCCGATTTTGTCTTGAAGTATGGAGCCCAGGAAAACGCTGATCTATGGGAAGCCACGTGGAATTTTTTGACATCCATATTTGTAACCACAAATTGAGCTTCGTTTGGCGCAGATAGATCATGAGAATAATCAGGGAAATAACTCATATATAAGGACCACCACAGAAAATGGATACCTTATAAGACAACGTATATATACGTATTTTATTAGACCTAAATATGGGGATGACTTACATTTTATTATTTTATTGAATTGCAGCAAGTTGTTTAACGTCGAGGCTACGAGAGGAGCAGCCTCATTAGACATTCGAACGAAAGCACTGTCTTTCCACTTACCAGTCTATTCAAATGTTTGATAGCAACAGGGAAACGAACCTTTTTAGACTTTGGTATATAGAGTTCATGAACTTTTCCGAATTGCTCAATGTACTTTCGCAATTCATATGGTCCAAAATATTTGGGTAAGCGAGTAATGTGCAGAACAACAAGATTATTTGTCATGCTTCTATAAAGTAACGCAATATCCCGTCCTCGCGCTTCAATCTTCAGCGTCCAAATGGTTGTAGACGGAATAGAAGCTTTCGCTTAACAGGCTTCCGTGTCTAGTAGCAGGGGATCACCAAATCCTCCAGGCAGGAACCTAGGTATGTTAACAATAAAAGAGGAAAAGAAGTTGGTAAATCATAGTGTGATGCTGTCCTTGGTTCTTAAGAATAGGTCAAGTTGTCTCTTGAAGGACTCCTGAGAAGTCGCTTGGACTAGCTCTGCCGGCAGCGAATTCCAGCTTTTGACAACTCTTAAGGAGTAGAAGTTGTGTCTACATTCCGTCTTGCTATGTTGTGTTTCCAGTTTCTGGGTGTTACCCCTTAGGTTATTATTCGAACTAAGCTTAAGTAGGTGTTTAAGAGGATGTCCAGAAGTGTTAAGAATACTATAAGCCATTAATAAATCACCTCTAAGACGCCTATACTCTAATGGGTAAAGGTCTAGTGAATGGAGGCGCTCTTCGTAAGGTTAAGATTTGAGTCCGCGAACTGATTTCGTGGCTCGACGTTGGATACGCTCCAAAGTGACCTTGTCCTTTTGGAGTGAGGGAGGGAGTACTATGTTTCCGTACTCTAAATGGGGACGGATGAAACTATTGAAGATTGTGTGGAAAGTTCTTCCGTCAAACTGGCCAAAAATGCGCCTCAACGTTACCAGTGCAAGGTTTGCTCGGAAGGCATTTTTGTCACAGTTAGCGTAAGACTTTAAGTCATGGGGCACCAGGACTCCTAAATCTTTTTCGACTTGGGATACTACTAGAGAGGAGTTTCCTAAGTTGTAACTGTAGTTTGCGACATGTCGCAGATGGACTACTTTGCACTTTGAAGTGTTAAAGGTAAGTCCGTTATCGTCTGCCCAACTTTGAAGTCGAGTCAGATCCTCTTGAAGTGCCTGTGTATCGTCTTGGTTGCGTATCTCTCTCCAAAGTTTCACGTCGTCGGCAAAAAGTAATAAGTCTGACGTTACCTGTTGAGGAAGATCATTTATGTAGATCAAGAAGAGAAGAGGCCCTAGTACTGAGCCCTGGGGGACCCCACTAGGACATTCCATAGCCTGAGATAAAGTGAAATTAACCCTAACCTTAAAGTGTCGATTTTTTAGGTATGAAGTAAGCCAGTCGATTAGAGGTGGTTTGATACCTAGTCGTTTGAGCTTGTTGATAAGACACAAGTGGTTAACCTTATCAAAAGCTTTTGAGAAATCAAGGTAAATGACATCAACCTTTCCCTTGCGATCGAGGATGCTTGTCCATCTGCCCACCGCAGTCAGCAGGTTGGTTATACAAGAGTAACCCTTCCTGAAACCATGCTGTTGGGGTGAGAAGAAATTTAAGGACAGTAGATAGTCATTTAAACCGTCGTATATCAGGGACTCCATGAGTTTTGAAGGTAACGACAGAAGAGCCACCGGCCGATAACTTGAAGGTTCATTGCGTCGACCACCTTTGAAAATTGGTGTGATGTGAGCCAACTTCCAATTTTCCGGTAATTTGCCTCGGCTAAGCGAGTGTGAAAACATCACGCTAAGCGGCGTTGCCAGGATTGAGGCTGCTCCCCTCAGTATGGCAGGATGAACCATATCCGGGCCAGGAGAAGTGTCAAGTCTTAAGTGCTGCAATTTCCGGAACACCAAGTCAGCGCTTAGGTCCACTTCAGAAAGTCCTGTGGAATTGCAGATGAAACTGTCGTCAATAAAGTTGATGTCAGCCGGTTGAAATGTTTGAGAGTAATGTGCCGCCAGAAGGTTAGCGGCGTCGCCATCATTGTTGGTCGGGCCGTTAAGACCTAGCAGTTGAGAAACTCCTGTTTTGGCTTGACGAAGAGAGGCTGCATAACGGAATAGGCTTCTAGGGTTAGAGGCGAATTTGTCCATAAGCTTTGTTTGGTACTGAAGCCTGTCTTCTCTTATAGCCTTCGTGCATATGTTCCTGATATGTTTATATTGCCTATACGCTTCATCGTTATTAGTTCGTTTGTATTCTGCCCAACAGTGCCTTTTGCGGCTTAGCAGGCGAAGGGTACGGTTCTTGATTACTGTAGGTGGCTTGCAGCTTTTTGGAACCGTTTGAGGAACTGAATGGTCTGTAGCACATAGGAGCGTGTGCAGTAAGAAGTCCCAATGACCATCCACATCGAGTTGAGGGTGAACATCCCAAACCACCTGTTGTAGATAGTCATGTAGAGCTGGCACATTCAGCCGTTTAAAATTCCAACGCAAATTATCGTTGGGATACCTTAGCTTAGTTTTGATGACAAAACTGAAGGCTATGACGGCATGATCGCTCTTTCCCAGAGGAGCCAGGATTGAGAGGTTGTCGACTAGGAATTCTTCGTTTGTGAATACACAGTCTAAGCGCGATGGTGTCTGACTGTTTCTCCAACGAGTTGCCGACCTCACATTTTCATATAAGCCCAAGTTATCGATGAGGTTGAAGAACCGAGCTTCAATTGAGTTGTCGCCTCCAGTGTACGTGTGTTCCGCGAAGTTGACTCTAGGGAGATTAAAATCCCCTAGAACCAGGATGTGTGTGAAACCGAGACGGATAGAGCGGGATAGTCCTTCCAGCATATGACTATCGTACTCGATGTCGGCAGTTGGCTTCCTGTAAATGACTCCGACTAGACACCTCGAAGTACTAGACAATCTTACAGAGCACCATATGGATTCCTCAAGATTGTTAAACTCGAGGTTGTGAACCTGGTGCACCTCCAAGCAAGAGCTTATGTATATGGCTACTCCGCCCCCAATTCCTGTTTTTCTGTCGTTGCGAAACAAAGTCATCCCAGGTAATGCTAACTCTTGGTCCGAGAACTGAGAAGATATCCAGGTTTCAGATATTCCTATCAGATGGGCCTTATTAGCGTTGCTAGGTTCACGTAGTTCATCCAGTTTGTTTGGTAGACTCGCGGCGTTCATATATAAGCAGTTTATGCTTTCAATTTGGAACGCGTGAGCGTCGTCCTGTTTTTCTGTATGAGCCTTATGTGAATGGACAGGTAGCCCACCTATATGAGGTTTGCCGAGGTGGTAGGCCCTGTCCTTTACACGTTTTTTTTATCGTTTAGACAGTCCACAAGTGGAATGGTCAGCTCCAACTTGCCTTTGTTCTTGGTCCTAACTTCGTATGGCCTATCCGGGTGCATGTGGATTCCAGGTGGCAAAAGACGTCTGTTGGCACGAAATACTTCCAGAACTGCAGCCGCCATGTGGGAAGATGGGAAGGTTATCTTCATTAGCCGAGGTCTGGAATCACCGTCCTTCTTGGCTAGTCTCGTCACATGCTGAGTCAGTATGTGTTTGAGCCTCAAGGACTGTTTGATGAATTTCCATTCCTTGATGTCAGAATTTGATTGAGTAGGGTATGCATTTTCCGGTATACCTTGAACAATTATGTTTCTTCCGCGGAAAAACTTCTCGCGAGATTCTTTAGGGATGTTTCGTATGATATTGCGCTCAGAGTACGGTATGTCGGGCAATATTCTTACGTTACCATCTGATTTTAGCAAGTGACTTGCTAGCAAGACGTCCTCTACGTCGGTAGCATTCTTAAGTGTTACTCGGAGAAGCCTCGGGTGATTTAGATGCTTAGAATCCTTTCATTGAGTGAGCCGGGTGACCGTCAAAGGCTCTATTCTAGGAAGTTCGAGCTTCTTGTTCAATTCACCCAGAGCATCCTGTCGTTTTTGTCCTGCAGACTGAGAGGAAGATCAGGATTGTCAACGAGGTTCATGATAATGAGAGAATCGTCACGAACTGTTGTTAATTTACCAGGTTTCACGATGGATTCAGGTTTAATAACTTGTTGTTTAATAACTTGTTGCTTGGAGGTCAGTGTGCGTTTTTGAGTCTTGGGCTCTTTATTGACCGGACGAACAGTCTTGGGGGTAGACTGTGCGACCAAATCCCCACTTATTTTCCGTGCAGCAACACTTGAGTTGCTCGGCTTAGGCGGTGATGCCTGGTTCTTTTGGGCTCTCTCAACGTGGGTCGAATCACCTACAGGGTTTTTGGGAACCACTGGTGTGTTCAGGGACCGTGAGCTGGGAGACCCGAGTTTGCTTAGGGAGTCTAATACCGTCGACGTAATGATGGTGCTGAGCCTCGACACGTCATCATTAGTGTTGATGGATGCTCCATCAATGGTATACCTGTCGACATCCCTATTTTTGTATCCGTCGCACGCTCTTGTTTGTCTGCCGGTTTTTTTCTATCGTCATCCAAGTTAACTGATGACTTATTCCGAAGACCTGTCAGTAGGACAATGATGTTGCTCAGCAAGACTACTGCGTCCGTGCTGCACGTGACACATACCCACTTTTGGTCTGACTTGCTGAGTCTGTTGTAAGAAGTTGGTGTCAGATCTGTGCATGCTTCGTGGAACCAACCTTTGCAGTTGTCGCACTGCATGCCAGTTGTGACAGCAAAACGGCGTCCCGGACGTTTGCATGAGTTTTTCATGACTGTGTTGAAGCAAACTATGTTATAGATGCTTGCAAGAGCCTAAGACCTTTTAAAAAAAACACTGAAAACCACACTGAAAACGGATAAAAATGGACAAAACGAGTGATATAAACTGAAACTAGTCTGTACGTGAAAAACAAAAAAAAACCGAATAGTAAGCTGGGGCAAAACCACAGGTAACTATTAAATATAGTGAAACTCAAAAAAAAGTAATCTACCGAACGTATAGCTCAGGATAGATTCTTTAGAACTGAAATGGTACTTTTGTTGCGTAAGAACACAGCAAAAGTTTGATAAATGCAAATCACGTTAGGACTAAACTTCCCGTCCAGTCTTCACGAATGAGGATAGTAGATTGGTGGACCTATGTTAAGCGTTGCAGCCTGTTTTCTAGTAAGGGTTTAGTTTCTCTCTAAAAATTTTCACTGATGCGGCGGAGACCAATTGTTTGGATAAGACAGTTTAGTCATTAACTGCTCTATGAGAAAAACGAAACCGCCGTCTAAGTTTACGAGATGGTGGTTTCTGAACCTTTATTTCTATTGCCCCTTAGATGATTAGTTCTGAAGAGTGGAAGAAGACCAGTCATTTTGAC